AGTGTGAGGCCTCTGAGACCATCGCTATTGCTTCCACCTTGACCACCACTACGACCGTTCCATGATTATTACAGGTGTTAGAAATGAGGGCAGCTTTTCATATTCGCCAATGAATACATATAACATTTTCCAGCGAGTTTCTTTTTGTTGGAGAAGGACAACTATTATTCTAAGTGAGGGGAGAGTTTAATATTTTCATATTTAGGAATGAGGTCCCCCTAAAACATCAAAGTATCTTCTTTAGTTCCGCTCTTTCTCTATACTATTTTGCACAATATGAGCAGTTTATGGACTGCTAGCGACTCAGTTCATACCCAGAGAGCAGAAAACAGTCTCCAAATGATAAATCTGTGCTTCAAATTGTTCATTTGCTGCTCTAACTCATAGACTTTTGCGATATTTCTCTTTTGTGAGTCAGTTTCAGCCATTGCATCCCATAACTCCTTTGAAGTATTACAATTCATAAATGTGTAACTCAAGTTTGGTTGCATGAAACTTAAAGTCCAGTTCATAACGATCATTTTATGGGCTTCCCAATCTGCAAAAGTTGCTTCCTACAAACCTGGTTCCACTCTACAACCATCAATATAGCCTAATGTTTTTCGACCCCCAAGGTAAAACATTACACATTTTAAGTTCCATGACAAACTATCTGGCCCATTCAATATAATACGTGCTATAAAATTTAATAGTAGTATTAAATTCTAGAGTACTCCATACTTGATCCTTGTTGTAACATTATATGTCTTCGAGGCAATAAACAGGTTAGCATTATTGCTGAAATCTAGATCTACCCTCAGATATCTCTCCAAGTATGCTTTTTTTTTTTTAAGTTGTCTCTCCAATTACTCTTTTTAAACACCAAAAGCACTACACAGTGCATTAGTCAAAAACATTCTGACGTATAATGGCTCCAAGCTTCACCATCAGATACACATCAAGTAGTTGTTATCAATCCCCAAAAGTAAGACTTGATAATATGTTTCAGATTTCTCATAAGAAAACACAAATTTATGCAACCTGGTTCATCACTAGATCACCCATCAATGGATCACAAGCCATCCTAAGTTTTGGGGACAACCTAACAAAATTGACACCTTTCTGGAAAAACCATATGAGATTAGGAACAAACAATAGAAAATGACAATTCCCTTCAAAGAAATTGTATAAAAGAATATTCTCACCATGATCTTCAAAAAGAAGATACATTAGCATTTCTTCTTGCCATACATTCTCTCATTATCAGGCCATACCGCTGAAACCAAGAGTTTCATCACTCTAGTCTCACTTATTCAGATCTGAACCTTGCTCTGATTCCAAGTTGAAAGAGATAACCTAGATTTACGTCGATCAGCAGGTACTAGATGATTATATAAGAGAGGAGAAGAAGATGTGAAGAGAAAGAGAGAAAAGATGAAGAAGGAGAAAGGAGAGGTATATGACAGAGGGAGAGGAGAAAGAGAGGTACATGAAACGGAAAAGGCAAAAGAGTGGTGTGATCCCCCCTTCAGATTAATCACATATAGTGTTTCAAAAAGCGTAAGGCGGATCCTAGGCATCCTGGTGGATCTAGGCCGCCCAGCGCCTTGGTGGGCACCTAGAATAAACAAAAAAAGACTCTATAATCTCTAACAGTATAAGCATAATAGTATATTGTATAAAATATAAGAATTAGGTATTTAGAGCCAACTTTTGTAAATTTGGAGAACTTCACCCATGTTGGCTCTACCAATTGGCTACAAAGATATAGCATAAAATCATAAATAAATAATCGAATTATAGAAATGAAACTTGATTACTTGAACTTGATGAACTTAAGAATATTATTACCTAGATCAAGTTTGGTCCTTTGCTCCATCGTCATTTGACTCCCAAAAGGCTTTAATGAGAACTAATAATTTATCAGCTCATCAACACATATAATATCCTGGATATACGGATCAAGGACTAGCACATCTACACACTTATTAAATCCAATCATAATTATGTGATTTGTGAGTATATCCTCATCAACATAAAAAAAAACTTGGGTTCAAATAATAACCAGTTAAATGCAACGGCCGATGTAGCTGCCTATCCCACTTCTTATCAATAATCTCCCAAACAGGCTTACAACAGTTCTCATCATCATCTAAATTTTGGGTTATCTCACTCTTGCATTTCTCCATAGCCTCATATATGTAGCCCATAAAAGCCTTGTCACTATCAACCATGCGAAAGACTTTGACAAGAGGAAAAAATACCTTAAGAGCGCCCTTCACCCCTAGCCAAAAAGCCTAAAAAAGGATAATATCTCTCACCTTCATTCCAACCTAATCCTTGGACCACTTGTAACATCTCCAGTCATCTGCGATGAACATCTGCCTCAACTGCACTCTCCTCGAATGTATGCTATCTAGGCATAAGTACCAGGTCACAAATCTCGTGACGGCCTCACAATTTCTTTCTTCTTTGTAAATCTACACATCATGTTGAGGGTGAGATGGTGGCTATAAATGGAATTTGCAACTAACTTTGCCTTCTTCACTACACCTGATATCTCGGTTAAACTGCCAAGAGCCTCAAGCATGAGGTCTATCTATGAGCTGCATATGGTGTCCAAAAGATTCTAGGATAAGCTATGCGCAACAAATTAGCAACAGCAACATTAGGAATTGTCTGTGACAACTTGTACAACAAGATGCTCCCCAACCTCCTTGATTTCCTTCTCTATAACTTGGAATATGTAATGGTCATCATGGCCATAATCAGATGCATCAATAGGCCTCAAAAAATATAGTCCCTAAAGGACAATTCACAAGTAAATTCATCTGACTGCTTCTCTTCGTATCGCTCCAAGTATCAGTCATAATAAAAGCTTCATACTGAACCCATGCATTCTTCTTAACTTCAACAACATCCTTCGTGACACTCACTGTTTTTTTTCAAAAGTGGCTCTGTAAGCTCATATCGGATTGGGGGTTTCATCCCAGACCCAAATTGGCCAATTACCTCTACCAAGGCATAGAAGCTGCTTAGGCAAGCGGTATTGAAAGGAATGCTCGCCTCATAACACCATGTAGAAATATAAAAAGTCGCTCTATCTCTCTCTTCCTTCTTCATTATATTTTCAATGGTGGTTTGCTTCTTTGTTTTCTCTCCTGCAACCTTATGGTCAAACTGAAGCAAAAACTATCCATAGGGCCTCTAACCCGAGGCTTCTTATTCCAAGAACCAGAAGCAATTACAACTCCCTTTCCCTTCCCCTTGATAATGGATCGTTCTACCTCTTGATATCCCTCCCCATCCTCATCACTATTATCATCATCATAACTTACCCGAACCCCATATCTAATATCTGCTATGGAGGCAAATTTCTCATCTTTTTTAATTTTTACCATACTTAAAAAATTGGTTATTTCTCTCTAACAGCATCAGGAGTCTTTTTACATGGGGCAACATCCCCCATGATACTGGCAAGATGTTTCTTGAACCAGTTCATGCCCCCTTTTGTAATATTTTCACAAAACTCGCATCTTATGCAATTTTTATCATTAAGATCTGGGTTGTAGCCTTATTTTCAACCGGTATCACCACTCCTATTAGATCCCAAAGAAGACATCTCAAAAATAATACAACTTATGCAAGCAATAAAAAAAAATTACTTACTTTGATTGCCCAATCTCCAAACTTCCACCTCAAAGATGCTTCTAAGGACTCAAAATCTTCTAAAAAACCCTCCAATAGATATATAAAACATAAAAAATAAATCTAATATCAATGGGTGGTGCTTTGATAATTTCTCATAAATTTGATAAACCCTTCAATCCTAATGAAATTACCAAAAAATAGTTTTTTAGGGTTTTTCTCTCTGTAAAATGGTTGCTATTATGTTTTAATAAACCTAAAAGCAACAAATTTGGCTCCTTAGTATAAAAAAAAAAGGACAAAAAATGCCCCTACCGAAAGTGTTTTCCGCCTCTGGGCGAGGAGCAGTCCTTGGGCGGATGCCTAAACAGGCACCTAGGGATTTCTCCCATTTTCTGGTGCCTAGGCATGGGTGGTGTGCCCAAGCCACCCAGACAGCCTAAGCGGCTGCCAGCCACTAAGTGGTCCACTTTTTGAAGCATTGATCACATATAATGAAAAATTATAAAATGCCCTCGTGTCAGTAAATAACTAACACAACACTTTTGTATAAGATATTCCATTTAGATTGCTAATTTACTATTGCACTTTCAACAGTAACTAGGAGGAGGTTAGGAAATGGGTAGGGATTGGGGTTCAAGTATGGGATTGATCTTCTTAAGAGGAAGAGTAAACAAAATACAAGGTTTCTACCAACAACAATTCTAGTGGCAAAGCTCAAGCTCTATTAGTATATATAAAATCCAAGTTACAATTTGCGGTCCAAGCGGGTTCTATACAGCTACAAATGTATGTAGAAGGACCAGGCATCTGCCACATTAAAAATCATGGTTGCCTATAGATAGCAAAGAAAGGGGAAAGGCAAACGTTTAACAACTAGCAGTTTCCACTACCGCAGCAGTTGAATGCATTTAGGAAGTGAAAATTTGAAAGTAGAACCACCTTTGGCAGGAAATTCTAGCAGAGAGATATTCACAACAAACTAACCTATACGAGAAAATAAGAGATATGAATAGGTGTCAAATAATCATAGACACGTTGTGGTCATCTTGACATGCACAAAGTTACTATCTGACTGCAGCTTACAGCTTGCATTCTAACTAGGCACAAAGAAAAAAAGTATTTTTTTCCCTCTATCTGAAAATTAGCATTGGTTATAGAAAAGGATTATGAAATTAAGTTGAAAAAATATACATGAGGTATGTGAGATGCTGAAGAAACACAAAAAAAAGAGTACAAGAAGCAGTGGCATTACAAATAGCCACCACATTCCAGGTTATGAAATGGTACATCAACGACTCTAGAAAACGTAGCACACACGAACAGCTCCAAACAGCCCATGCTGCGACAGCAAGCATCGCCATCAACAGTACCTGAAATATAAGACCATCTGCCTCATGTGAAAGCTTGGGAATGAAGTCCCTCAGCACCTTTATAACCGCAGATAACATCCAAAAATCCTTTCTTCTTACCTGTTTGCACAAAGTGAAGTGAAATCAGCTTATTTTCATTCAAGAGAATTTCTAATCCAAGAATTATAGCCCAGCAGCAGATATGATCAAATGAGGTACCGGTCAAAACACAAAGTATGAACAATACAAGGTGCGAAGAAGGAAATTAACTTACTCTGAAAGGTTCCATGTCATATCTGTAAGAATGATTGTTCGAAACATCACTATTACGGGGCTCAACAACTTCCTTCTCAATTAATTTCCACCTTTCACAAAAGGGAAGCTGCTTATAACAATTCAACATAATTTCAGACCTCAATTCATTGAATAAAAACCAAAGAACACCTGTCCAAACTCCAGTATAACCTGGCAAATGGTTCACAAATACAAAATCCCCAAAAAAATGACCCCGCAGAACAAAGTTCTCATCAAAGAAGATGACTAAAAACAAAGTGTAATCTGAACTGATGCAAAAACTTAACATGGAAATCGGTAAGTAGATTACATCCAAGAACAAGGAAAGAAAGCAAAAGAATACGAATACATTGCACAATTTCAGATATTCTCGATTAATACGAAAAGACTGGGAACATTAACAGAATAAGGCCCCATTTGGGGGCACAAGATTTCAGCAATAGAAACATCCTTTCACACACCCATTTAATGAGTGTTCCAGCTTTGGATATTCAAGGCGAAGACCTCTATAAGACCATTTATTCCCAAGATGCTACCAAAACTCTACTAAGACTAGAACACAAAAACAATATTTTCCCTCTATTCCTGAAAAAAGGGGACTTTTTTGTTATGATTGTGACCATTTAAGACTACCGTTTTTCAGGACTCATTGTAATGGTAGACAGATCTTTTTCTTTGACATGACTATTAAGCATTAGTATGCCCATACGGGGGCCTTACTCATTCGAGGGGTCACAACATGTTGGTCATATTATTAGGACAAAACATAATATTAGAGAGGAAATACTGGACACCACAAAACACTCAACCAAACTCATTATCGTGACTACAGCATGGCATCAGGATTTTCATTTTTACTTTTTGGAGAGTGAACCCCTATCTACCTATCACCTCATCACTCTATTCCCTACTAGCCCCTCTCACGTTTTGGCAGCATGGGTCCAAGGGACAATTCGTGCTCACGTTTTGGTGACAAAGAAGCACATTCAACTCAGTGGAGCTCCATCGCAAACTTCCAGCCTGGCGCGTAACAAGAAACGGTTGCGATGCCCATAATTGCTCTCTTTTAGTGAAAATGTAGTTATAACTTTATTTCTCTTTTACTGCTTCTTTTCTATCATTCCTCTTGTATTCAGAGCACCCATTTTGTGGGCTTCCATTTTTACCACTTTTGTCGCACTGTAATCATTATACATATTTATAATAGTCAAAAGTTTCAAAAACATAAAAAAAAAAACTAAGGCCATTTAATCTTTCTTTATATTTTAGTTACTGAAGGGTAATTTTATCTTCTAGAGTTGTAGAGAATTTCAGGGTAGTTTAGTCTTTTATTAATTTATTTTAATTAAGGGTATATTATCTCATTATGTTTATGACAATTTGTATAAATGGGAATAGGGATGTGAACTTTGAGAAAGAAAAAAAAATTATTAGAAAACGCTTCTTGATTTCTTGGACTGAACATCATGGCTTGATTACTCCGCCAAAGGTCACCTCCCTTCGAAGGTACTATTTAATTTCTCCTTTCTTCATTTCCCTCTGGTCTTTTCCTCACATTTCTTCCATTGTCTTTTCCTTAAATTGTTTTTTCCTCCCCTTTCTTTCCCTTCCCATTTTCTCTCTATGGATTCTTTAGCATTCTTCCTCCTTTATTAATTTTTCCCTCTCCATTTTCTTTCCTATTTCTTATTTCCTCAAATCCTTGCTTTTATCAAAACCTTCCAAACTAGCAAACAATCCCCATCAAAAATCCACTAAAAACTTAAAAATAACCCATTAATTCTTCCTAGAATCAAACATTAATAAAACCCAAAAAACTCTTAACCCTAATTTCCCATCTAAAATCGAAACCCGAATTTCTGTGCACATCATTATTAACTTCAAAACCCAAAAACTAGTTATTGAGACCTTCAAGCATTAATCTAAAGTTATTCTATACCTTCTTTTATCTCCGAGTTGTAGGCTAGCTTTAAATTGGAGTGGAAACCAAATGTATCAAGCTAATTTTGCTTAAAAGACATATTTCATCCATTACAGATTGGAAATATCATCTTTCAAGCACCAAAACAAATTACTATAATTGTGTGTTGATTTGAGCAAGTTTGCTTAACTAGTTTTGTGAATGATTAACTACTGAAAACCACCTTCACAAGAACTACTAAAAATAAGCAGTAAAACAGTCAACAACCTAAAGCCCGTAAAATAGTAAACTTCACATGAGCTTACCATGATTGGATCTCAACCCCTAAACATTCCCATTCTTTTCCCTTAATCAAAACCCAGAAATTAGCTATGGTATATGGGACATATCTTATATAGGATTTTCACTCCCTTGAAGGATGAAGGAAAACAAACCAGCACGATAAAAATTAAAAATCGGCCACCTCTACACCTTGGCAGCTCCCTTAGGAACTCAAAGGCCCTAGATACATTGCTTAGGGAAAGGGGGTGCCTAGGGCCGAGGGCTCTCTAAGGGCCCGGCTTCATGACAAAGGCACGACCTATGTGAGTGCCTCAGCCCGCCTTACCCACAACTTCTACTCCTTATCCTCTTCTTTGTGCCCATCAAACACTTGAAGCACTTCTTGTTCTCTCATCATCGAGAACATGTGTCCTTGTGCTCTTGTCATTGAGCGCTTTGAATTTTTCTTGTGATCTAATCAGAGGAAACTTAGGCCGCTCGCTGTTTATATATCTCTAATTTCTTTTTTTTTTTTTTGAGAGGGGGGGCATCCCTCCCACTCTCCCTTCCTCCTATCCTCCCTTTCACCCTTTCTCCTATCCTCCATCCCTCCCTTTCTCCTCCGCCACACACAAAATCACACATACACAAAACACATACAAATATGACATAGGAGAACTTGAAAAAACCAAGAAAAATCAACAAGAAGCACACAATTTTGGAGAAACCCTAGGGTTTACTCCATTCTAGAGCTCAATCCTTAGGCTTCTTTTACAAGACAAAATCTTTCTTTTCTTATGAGGTATACATGAATAACTCTCCAGCCCATCCATGCCCTAACTTAAATATAACTTGAAACTAAGCTCCCTAATTTTAATTAAAACATCTAGAAAGTTCCTAGAATTCCTAGAAACTAAAAAAACCTAGAAATAAACCCTAAAACTAAAATCAAAATCTAGATTCTTTAAAATTGAATAGAAATTAAAAATAAGTATAATTTTTCCCTCCACCATTCTCCCTTTGTTGGAGAAAACTCGTCCTCGAGTTTTGAAGTGTTCTAAGATGAATTCAGCGTCAAAACCACCTTCTTCAACCTTCTTCTTCTTTGTTGGTTCAAAGATTATTCCTAATAAAAAACATTCCTCACGAAACGGATCCTAATATCTATCTTGAGGTGTTAGGGCCACAATTTGAAGCTTCTAAATCGACACTTCCACCGTGCTACTCTGATTCCAATGCCCCGAATTTTTTGAATACTCTATCTCTTCAATATTAATGACATCTTCAAAGGCCATGATTTGGATCAGTCCTCGTGTTGCCTTCTCTCCATATTCTTTAACCTCTTCCAAAATACATTCACTATCATATCGATCCTTATCTTAGATTGGATCTTTTAAGAAATCTTGTTGTTCATCTACTTATATATCGAAGATTGGTGGTGAATCCAAATCTACAATTTGTTAACTTCCCATGCAATCGCTGTCAAAATAAAAAATCTTATCTGTCAAATCAAAAACCCTAGAGTGATGTTCCCCACATCTAGGTCTTTTATCACTATCCTCATCACTCGACTCCCCACGTCGAGCAGAAAAGTGAAAAGGCATGTACTCGAGATTCTCTTGGGCTAAAATATCACCGTCTTACCCATTATTGAGGCTCACGGAGCACTGCGTCAGCTACTGTACTTGCCTTTCAAGTTCATCAATTTTGTCATCCATAGGATCACGAAGTAGATCTACAAAAATCCTCCTTTTATGGCCCCATCTCACTACCATGGGTTTGCCGAAATCACAAATCCGAGGCAAACCTTTGGCCAAAATCAGCAAACCCTAAACCCTATTATAATTTCCACTATTTGTTTTGACCTAGGGCACAAAAAAGTGATGCTATAGTAGCTTTGTATGTGCTACAATGACTTTCGTACTTGCTACAGTACCTCCTGTGTAGATCACAGGCTCTGATACCACTTGATATAGGAGAACGTGAAGAAACCAAGAAAACAGGACGAAGCACACAATTTTGTAGAAACCCTAGGGTTTATTCCCACCTAGGGCTTAATCCTTATGCTTCTTTTAGAAGACAAAGTCTTTCTTTTCTTAAAGAGGAATACATGAATAACTCTCCAGCCCACCCATGCCCATATTTATATTGAAAAAGTATTGTTTTGGAAATTTTGACTTTTGAGCAAAAGATCCTAACTTAAATATAACTTGAAACTAAACCCCTTAATTTAAATATCTAAAGAATCCCTAGAATTCCTAGAAACTAAAAAAAACTTAGAACTAATCCCTAAAACTAAAATCACAATATACATTCTTTAAAATTGAATGGAAATTAAAAATAAGTATAATTCTTCCCTCCATCACAATATCACACAGCCTACGCCGATGCTGCTTTGGCCCAGCACCTTCTGTATTCCTAAACACCGCAAATAACAGTCCAATCATCCATGTACTATCGCTATCAAAATTCCATAAGATACGAGATAAGTGAAGGAAGAAGCACTTGAATGCCATACAGATTCAGTGATGAGAAAATGGTCACACTCGGTCTCTACACAACACGATAAGACATGAATTGGAGTCCTGAACATTGAACATGGTATCTCGGAGATATTTTGCATAATCACTCATGAACATGACGAAGAATGATGACAGAACACATCCCAGACTCCCTTATATCTAGTCATTCAAATCAAAAGTCATACAGAATGGAGAATCTTCTACTTTAGCCCAATGTTGTCAGGACCGAACCAGTGAAGGCATCGGTTCGGTTGGACCAACTAAACCAAACCGGTTCACTAGTTGGGCTGGTCCAAGAAATTAAATAACTAACAAAATAGTAAAATGAGGAAAATTTAAAGGAAAATGCACTCGAATTTAAAAATAATTTTTTTAAAAAATATT